CCCCCCCCCCCCCCCCCCCCCAGGTAATGGCTGTGATAGTGTTGAACAGGCTGAGTTGTGACGGTGTCATTACAACCCCCATACTCGCGCCGAACGCCTCCGAGGAACTCCGCCGCCTAGAACGCTCCTTATTGCGCATTTCGCAACACTCTTTTCACAACTATCGAGTCACTCATTGAACTATATCATGTTGACAGCAATATATAGGCCGGTCTATTGCCAATTATTACCAATTATCGGAGCGCTTGTTGCAACCATTAAGGTTCACAAGGAAAGGGCGACTTGCGGCCTGTGATGAGGCAACGAAAGAGGCCTCGACCGGACAGAGAATAGTCGCTCCTTTTGCCTATATATATCATAGTCCTTGACCTCATAGTTATTGAGGTCAGACTCGTCAATACATCCCATTTAACTCCCATTGTGTGAGCGTTGCACGATAGTTATGAGCCCGGTTCCCGATTTCGCTTGAGACACCTGTCAGTTAGTGGTTTGATAAAGCCTCGTCATTGTAAGGCTAGCCAATCAAACACGTCAGACACGTCAAGTTCTCTACGCGCCACGCGCTTCAGGTATCCACTAGTAAAACCACGCATTTTACTATACTTCCTTTTCAGCAACCTCAATATGTCGGAGTTAAATCCAGAGTCTCAACGAACGAAACCAATCACTATTACACTTTCTAAGTCTTCCGACTGGGATAACTGGTTCCTTGCCATCAAAGTATACGCTAAACAGCAAGGGATATGGGAATATGTCGATCCCGAGGTACTAGACCCTCCTGTCCTGAAGTATCCATCTATCCCGGATATCTACGATGCTAACTCAGGAGCTGTACCATCCGGAACACTTGATGAACGACAAAAACTCAGCATCCGCTTTGTCGAAAGACAATGGGAGCATGATTGCAAGAAATATGAAGAGAAAACTAAGGCGATTAAGGCCCTAGGAAGTCAAATTATTGGAAGTCTCTTAATCGACCTTATGCAATTTCTGGAAGGAGATCACTCTCCGCACGTAATACTTCTTCGCCTCAAGCGAAGATTCGCTCCTGTTGAGAGATCGAGAGAACTAGATATCCTGACTAGATGGAAGAATATCTCCAAGACTCCGAAGACCTATTAACAGATCGATGACTGGCTAGATAAGTGGCTAAAGGTCTATGATGACGCTCGACGTCTAGATATGTCTATCGCCGCAGGACGTTCTCCAATTTATGAATTCTTGCAAGCTGTCAAGTCACTTAACTCGACCTTCTCTACCATCGAAAATATGAAGGTGTTAAGCGGAGAATTTATCCCAGACTTTCATGAGTTGGTTGAGTCTTTCCGACGACTTAACAGCCTTGAGAAGGACTCCAAGAAAGGCTCTGTTCACTCGCATAACTCGTTTGTATCCCTCGGAGATCAGAGAGCCGACAGCGACCCTCCGAAGTGCAGGATTTGCGACCTCTTCCACTGGTATACTCAATGTCCTTATATCGTTGAGTCAGCAAGGCCTCAAGGTTGGAAACCTGATCCTGCAAGGCAAGCCATTTACGAGGAAATGAAGAAGAACCCTGTTCATGCAAAGCGGTTCAAGCGGGCTATAGAAAGGGCCTCTAACTCCACTTCCTTATCTTCCTCCTCCTCCGCAAAGGAACAGAAAAAGGAGACGGCGTTCACAGCAACCATGGCTTATTCTGCCTCCGCTTATTCAGGGTCAACCAATAGGAGCCTGTACAACGAGTGGATTCTAGACTCAGGATCCGACGTTCATGTGTGCCGGCCTAATACACTAGGCTACGTTGCGCAACGTTCTCCGCGCCCTAATGAGTCGCTAACTTGCGGCGTTGACAAGTATCCAATCGAGTCAATTGGGACAATCACCATTGACATGATGTCTCCTACAGGACCTACTCACATCGTTCTCACAGACGTTCTCTGTGTTCGAGGCTTCATGACTAAAGTGGTCTCATTATCAAGGATAGTAGCTAAGGGTATCCACTTCACAACCCAGGCGCCTCCCGGAATAGGAGGAATGTTCATCCGAGACGGAACCCCAGTGGGTTATGTATACAACTATTACAACCACTTAACATTCACATTATGCGAACACACAGCATTCGCAACCACAACCACGCAACAACACAAGGAACTCAGTTATCCGGCCTCTACCTGGCATAAGATCTTAGGGCACCCTAGCCTAGACAGTGTCAAACATCTTCCGGATATCGCCGAGGGAATACAAGTCACAAGAAATGACGCTCCCAGTATAGCGGAATGCGAGACCTGTGTACTTGCAAAATCTAAACAACAGATCTCAAGAATCCTCCACAACAGCGAGGAACGAAGAGACGAACCACTAGGCCGAATAGCCTTTGACATTGTTCATTTCGCAAAGGGATGGGCCGCGGATCAATACATGAGCCACTTATGGGACTTTTATACCTATATGAACTATGTTTTCACACATAACAGTCGTTCCCAGGCAGGAGAACTTATCCTAGACTGGTTGGCGATGATCCGAACGCAATTCAACAAGACGCCCGCATTTCTGCGTCTAGACAATGAAACAGCACTAAGCGATAATTTCTATAGCCAACTCCGCAGGCTAGGAATCACCGTCGAACACACAGCCCCTCACACTCCAGCCCAGAACGGGGCTGCGGAGCGTTCCGGGGGCATCATCACGCAAGTGGCTAGGGCACTCAAGGTTCAAGGCCATCTCCCTCACTTTTTATGGCCAGAACTAGTCAAAACGGCTGGCTATCTCATCAACAGGACCCCAACAAGGTCGCTGGGATGGAAAACACCCTATGAGGTGTCACATGGACGAAAACCTAGTCTCTCGCACCTTCACCCAATAGGTTGCAAAGCATTCGTCCACAACAAGCAAGTTCCTAGGCTTGAAAAGCTGGAGGACAGGGCTATAGTCGGCTGGTTAGTCGGCTATAATGCAAGGAATATCTGGCGTGTTTGGATACCTACAAAACAAAGGATCCTTCGCTCCAGGGATGTGGTGTTTCATGATAATGCGTTTTATGATCCCACTAAGGTGCAGACCGCGGAGCAACTCCGTGCCCTTCCCCAGGAACTTATTGAGGTTCTTGACATTGAAGCCCTCGTTCTCGGCGACGACGTTGTGGAATCCTCCCCTGACTGGGATCCCCTTGCAGATCCTGATGATCCAGACACTATCATCGTCTCCCGCGGTTCATTATCTCAATTGCAAGTTGAGAAAGAAAGAACTCAAGCTGAGGGGGTGGAAATCGCCTTACCCACGCCACGCACAACGCCCGAGGCTAGCACAGCGCCTAGCGCGTCTAGCATTCAACAACCTAGAGTTGCAAACAGCCCTCAGCCTAGCACTCCTTCACAATCCCCTGCAATATCGAATACCCACGAGGCGTCGTCAGACCTCGCCAATCAGGTTGCGCCATTTTCGGTAACTACTCCGGATTCGGCAACTACTACCCGATTAGGCAACTCACGCGACGATGCTCCCACCACATCTCCACGTTCTAGTGAAATATCAGCCAACTTGGATGAGAACAACATCCTTCCATCTCACGAGCGACGTCGACGACAGCCGTCTAGGCGTCACCAGAATTATGCTATACAACTAGCAAGTGATCCTCACAATCTTCACGCATTTCACGCGGCATTTAGCGAGGTATTGAATGAACCGCAAAGGGTTCATAGAGACGACCTTCCTGCCGCGCCGCAGATCTATCGTTAAATGCTGGCACACCCGCACAGGCGCCAATTCGAGGCGGCCATGGACGTTGAATGGAGCCAAGTCTTTCAAAGCAACACAGTCAAACAAGTGGAACGTTCATGCGCCCAAGAAACGCAAGTCATTCCTCTTATGTGGGTGTTCACGTATAAATTCGATAACGACGGCTTCCTTGCTAAACACAAAGCGCGCATTTGCGCCCGCGGCGACTTGCAACGTTCTCAGGACGACACATATGCGGCAACCCTTGCACTCAAGACCTTTCGCGCACTCATGGCCATTGCCGCGTTCTTTGACCTCGAAATCTGGCAGGCCGACGCCGTCAACGCCTTCCTTAACTCACCCATGGAAAAGGAGGTCTACATTGAGTATCCTCAAGGTTATTCTAGGCCAGGAAAGATCTTGCGCCTCCTGAAAGCGCTCTATGGTTTGAAGGAATCTCCATTGTTGTGGTACAACACCTTCACTGCGGCGCTCAAGGAACTAGGACTTGCGGAGGTGCCCAACGTCAACTGTCTCTTCCAAGGCGAACAGGTTCTAGTCTTCTTTTATGTTGACGATATCATGATTCTTTATCACAAGAGCAAGACGAACGCATTTCACTCCCTAACACGCCGACTAGGAGAACGATTCAAGTTTCGCGTTCTCAACGACACCAATTGGTTCTGCGGCATTCGCATCCTGCGAGACCGCAACAACAGGACTATTCACCTATCGCTCGATTCATATATCGATAAAATTGCAGCCAAGTTTCATGTGCGACAACTTGACCATTTGCCTGATACTCCACTATCAACTAGTGAGTTGCAACCTCATGAAGGACAGGCCTCACCACAAGAGATCCACGTATATCAACAACGTGTTGGATCCATCTCATTTGCCTCATGCGCAACTAGGCCAGACGTCGCCTATGCTCACTCCAAACTAGCCCAATTCCTAGTCAACCCGTCGAGTGCGCACGCCAAGGCCGCGGATAGAGTGATTGCATATCTCTACCGCACGAAACACTTCTCCCTCACGTACAACAGTCAATCTGACCAACACTTCCTCTGCGCGTCGGACGCCTCCTTCGCCGACGACCCTGAGACTAGGAGAAGCTCCGATGGCTACATCCTGACGCTATTCGGAGGGCCCATTGACTGGAGGTCGGGGAAGCAAAAGACGGTCACAACGTCCTCCACCGAGGCTGAACTCCTTGCCCTCTCCAATGCGGCGAGCGAAATGATATGGTGGAAGAGAATGTTCGCTGACATCAATCTAGACCTCAAGGAGACCTCGCCCTTGCTCTCCGACAACTTGCAGACTATTCGACTGCTAACCAAGAACGAAAAGCTGTCTACAAGACTTCGTCATGTTGATATTCATCGGCATTGGCTTCGACAGGAGGTGCAACAAGGAAAGATCCACCTTGATTGGGCACCAACAAACGACATGATTGCCGACGGCCTCACGAAGGCCTTGCCTAGGCAAAAACACGAGGCTTTCATCAAGCAACTCAACCTCACTGACATCCAGGAAATGCTATCTTGATGTTTCCTCACCAACGACGACGGCATCATTTCCTGAGGGGGTGTGTTGAACAGGCTGAGTTGTGACGGTGTCATTACAACCCCCATACTCGCGCCGAACGCCTCCGAGGAACTCCGCCGCCTAGAACGCTCCTTATTGCGCATTTCGCAACACTCTTTTCACAACTATCGAGTCACTCATTGAACTATATCATGTTGACAGCAATATATAGGCCGGTCTATTGCCAATTATTACCAATTATCG